TAGCTCCCCCAACGTGCCCATTGCCCCGTGCCAGGCGACGTGCCCAGTGCTCAGGGACAGATTTTTGCAGGGTCTCTGCCACTGCTGTGGGCTGGCAGCGACCTGCCCGGGGTGCCAGGCAAGCCCAAATGAGCAGCCAGCAGCTCCCGGGCACAGCCCCGAGCCCCTCGTGTGCTCTACCCACTGCTCCCCTTTGCAGGGCGCTGGGTCTCACGAGGAGAAAGGATACGGGTTACTGAACATCCTCTTGAGATCCACCTTCTCTTTGCAGTACGGACACGTCTGCTTCTTCCCGACGATGCACCAGCCACGGATGCAGAACTCGTGAAACCTGGGGAGCAGCACGTTAAGGGGAACTGCCTCGGGCTGGAGGAGGGGGGGACACGACCGAGCGCGGAGGAAACCATCGAGGTTAAAAAAGAAAAAAAGTCACCCCCACGCCACTGCGTGGGGGACGGGAAACATCCACGCCGTGCAAGGATAGACGCGTTGCACAACCGCAGCCCTTTCCTAGAAGGCGCAGAGCCTTCCAGGCACAGAGGAAGGGGCTCACGGGACAGCGGAGCCATCACAAGGGCTATGACGAACACGCCGGGCACTGGTGAGACACAAACCCTTCACCGACGGTGCCTGGTGCACATGTAGCCCGGCACTCGCACCGGGGCCAGGTTAGACCGACGTGGGCAGCCGGGGCAGAGGCTGCAGGGAAGGTCCTCCACGCAAGGGCGAGAGCCGGCAGCAGCGGAGCGGCAGGGATGTGTCTGCCTGCGAAACGCCGGGCAGACTGCGTTCGAGCACCGGGAAGGTTCGGAGAGCTCCGCAAACTTGACTGCGTGCGTCACGCAAGGCTCCTGCAAAGGCTTCTCGGGGATTAACAACATATTTAAGGAATTTACCCCAGGGTCTGACTTCCAGGTGCCAGCTATGCTCCGTCACGGCAGATGAGTAACGAGGATTCGCCCAACCTGAGCACAGCCCACAGAAGTCACGGGGAGCGGGGGGGGGGGGGAACCGTG